TGTGTGTGTGTATGAGTGTATGTGTATGTGTTATTACATGTGCTGTGCTATTTCCAGTGACGAAATGAAATCATTACATAAGATTGTGCAGTACAATAAGTGTAATATTACTTATGCATAATTATGAGATTGATTAGTGCTGTAATGAAAACTTCAACTTATGATGATAAATTTTTATAATTCATTTTCTAGGTGTTGCAGTGGCAAAAATAGAAGTGCATGCAAATCGAGGATAAGTTCGATATAGGATGACTAGACTGAAGAAGCTTTATGAAAGGCGTATACTGGAATTTAATTCAGATTTATTAGAGCAAATTAATATAGTTATTTTATACATTAAGAATATTGGATATGAATTGGCTGGAGTAGAATGGAATTTACTTTGCTGAGAATATTCACCAAATCATAAGAGAAACTATCATGTAGCAAAGTCATGTAGCAAAGTAAGATAACTAACATGGAAAATATTTGAATTGCTTGTTGAATTAGTTTGAAAGCACACTGTCTCCGTAAAAGTGACATAGTAATGGGATGACATTTTTCACATATCATTTTTTATAAACAAATAATGTTACCTGTATGGGATGAAAATTGGAAGTGTTATAAAATTTATAGGACTTAAATAATATGTAGTGAACGAGAAAGTTGTCATTTGGCTCAATTATCGTCAGTTATTGTTGGACTGAAAAAAAAGCCGATAGGAAAGTGAGGAAAAAGGAATTGAAATTTTTATTAATTTTTAACTAATTACGGAAAACTGTATGCGATCTTTAAATTATTATATGAATAAATGGTGGATGATATAGTTGATTTGTTTGTCGAATAACTGGATTGCCAACTTAACAAGCAAAGATTTTTGGCACGTCAAGAAGGGGGGAGGGGGCTTAAAATTTTAGTGAGAAAATGCATAACGTCTAATTTCATTTATTTTGCCAGATGGAAATAAGTTTAGCGTGTTTGGAAATAATTATATTTATTTGAAGTCAGTGAAATAATGATGAGATTTGGCTGCTAAGTGCTCATGATAATGAACGGGAACGGAGATTTTGAATTTACAACGTATTGCTGTAGAATAAAAAGCTTCTTATTCGACAAACATCTGAATTAATACGATAGAGCTAATGTGTGCGAAATGATAGGAATCTGAAGCAGTGGAAAAATGACGATGATTCTTTCTTTAGACATTAGGCAGCCATCAATATCGGATGAGCAATTTTTCTGATTGGAAGAAAATTGCTTGAATTTGATAATTGATATAACAGTTGCAGTACTTATTAAATGAAATGGTGACGCGTTCATGGGCAATATCCATCAGTTTCTTCTTAGCTAGTTTTGTCTTTTTTAATTTAAAAAGCCTGATTCATACAGTTATCCGTCAATTTCATCTCTGTGTGGTTTTGAAAAAATTTTCCATTCATATTTCTTTTTCCTCTTTCCATTTTTTTTTTTTGTTCGTTTGTCCTTGCCTCCGAAAATTTCAAAAGTTTTTGCCGCTGTTTGGCCTATATATTTTTTTGTCTTACTCATCTTTAATTCTCGCTTATGCGCATTTTTATTATTCCTCCTATTTATATTGCTTTTCTGGCCACACGTTTTTGCGCTTACCTATCCGCATATCTGTCTACATTGCGGAATATTAAGGTTTTTGTGGTAGTTTACCCGTTCCATTAGAGATTTCGTTTATAGTGTTGTCGAGCAAGGCATGGGAGGAGTCAGTGAGGTCAGAACCTTTAATGATGAGTTGTGGAATGCGATTGGAGGATTTGAACTTGAGAAATGAGAAAAGGAGTGAGAAAGTGTTGATTGTTTATGAATACCTTAACCTGATCTTACACGCCCATAAGATAAATCTTTATGAGGGTTAAAAGATTAGTTCCATAGTTGAAATCTCAAACACTATGGAATGCGGTAGGTACTTTTATTTTTTCCTTTTTTTTCCCAAATACGAATTGATTAGAGTAATATACTGTATTTAATACGGAATAGAAATGTTTAAAATCGATTTTGCAAAATTTGTTAATTGTGTTAGTTCCAACAACGTCAATTTAGTCAAATTAATTTCTTTCCTCAATCATTTGAGTGATGATCATCATAAGTACAATTATTTCATTTTGTTTTGTTAGAAATTTAAACAATTAAAATTAATTTTGTTTCATCTGATTTAAATAAATGAAATCGATTTATTTCCAGTTATTTAATACAAATTTAAAATATAGCAGCAAATCCTTCTCTTCATGTTTTATTACCGGTTTTTGACAATTCTGTACCTTCTGTCATCGAGAAACCACGATTTTTCAGGAAGTGTTAATTGTGCGCAACGATATGGTTATCCATACACGGAAAAAATGTATTTATTTTTGTGCGTGCTTTTGTTGTTGGTATTAGATAAATCGTCATCATGTCATGCTGCTAAGGAAAATTCCGGACGCAGTGGACGTGCTGTGGGTCACAGCGAACAATATATCAAACAGGTTCAATATGATATGTTTCTTTTGTGATTTCTATTTGCAATTTAGCTTTAATAAAGACAGAAATCGCTTCAATTTCAGCATTCCGACATAATCAATTCCTGTTATATGTAAAGGAGCGGAAAAAATGAATTACTCATATTTTGATATTGAAAAAAAAACTAGCTAACGTTTCAATCGAATAGTGTCGAACAAGATCATATACATATATAAATATAAGCTCGTAATGGAGGACGCTGTCACGAATCTCTCTCTTTCTCCCTCTCTCTCTCTCTCATAGCAGGAAAATACGTATATGTTTAAGCATTACTGAGCACGGTTTCATAACGCTGTGAGTATATTTAAGTGGATGGTTTAACCAATTCAAAAGTCAGTAGATCGTATTCTGGTCGCAAATGCGCGACATAAAATAAGCGGCATTGATAATCAAGATGCGTGATTTCTGCGTTTTAAAAAATTGTTTAATTGAATTAAAATACTACTTTTTCGCTTATAAGTTTTCATGGTACTTCATTAGCGCAATTATTTTATTATTTATTCCTTATTCTTTATCCATTGTTTATCTTTTATTTTATTATTTCATTGTTGTCCTTTTTTTGTTATTTTATCATTGATGTTGTATCTGTTGCAGTTCCCTTTATCTGAGTCCTTCACTTGCTAACAGGAAAATTGATAGTTTATTTACAGCATCAACCATTGGCATCTAAAATCAAAGGAAAAAGTGATTTTGCATTTTGCAGATATTTTATACTCATGCGAACTGTGTTCATGCGGATTGGGCTTGTAATCAAGAGTGTCGCTTGGAATATGTAAATCGTTCTACCGGATTATGTGTCCCACCTTCTCCAACAGAAACTTGCTTCGGAATACCCATTCGTTACAATTATACCTTCGAAACTGCTGATGTTTTAGCTGTATTGTCGAAATATGAAGTTCTCAGCAAATTCCCACGGTATAAATGCTTGTTTTAACCCACCCATCTGGTAAAATATATTTTATAAAAGCCAGTATACGAGGAACTGGGTTTTATTAGAAAATTTAAAACATTTTGTATGTATTCGTATGATATAGCCTAATCTGGATCGGTTCTACGTATTTAAACCTGATCTCAGGCTTTTTTCTTGAACCGACAATGTAAAAGAGAGGAGAAAGAGGGAAGGAGTATATTCTTGAAAAATATTGACTATTTCTTACAAATGTTTCCTGTCGGAATTATATAAATTTCATTGGATTTGAATTATTTCAATCTACATTGCTGTTAGCTTGCAAATAATTTATAGATGTTGGTCGGCGCTGGGACCTTTGCTGTGTGCGGTGGCTTATAGGCCATGCTCTAACCGAGCATATTTCGAAGTTTCGATGGATAAGGTATTCTTATTTCATAACAAGACAACTAATAGAAGATAAATCAAAAGAGATTGATGCTACAGTTTGCGGCTACCCACAGAAATACTTTTGAAATGCCCCACGCATTAGAGGATATCTCACTGACGAATTGATATTTTGTCTCTTGCTATCGTTTTCAAACTACTATTTTGAAATTCATATTTGCTAAAAAAGGACCCAGTTTATGACCATGAGTTAAGGAATAATTTTATTAACGTTTAAAATTATCCAACAAATTATAGCCGGGCAAAATGGAATTATGGCAGGTGTTTCGGAAGGATATGTGCCAGCAAGCAGTTGAAAAATGTAATTTTCTCTTGGAAAACGGCTTCTGGCCTAGTTTTGTCAATTGTTCAGATACGATCAAATCGAAGGACGGAAGACGGATTTTTTCGGATGGGTCTTGTGCGGTAAATTATGTTATACTTTTGAATAACATTGGTTTAGTGTAATGACTAGGAGTAATTGGTAACGAATACGCAGAAACTGGAAATATAATGCAGTTCCTCGAAAAAAATTCTGATTTCTTAAACTGTAAAACGCTGAAGAATTTAGTAAAATTTATTATCCCACCACTTTATTACTTCATTTTACGATGAGCAAGTGAATACACTCCATCCGAATTGCTTTAAGCCATAAAGTATAGATTTAAATCTTTATTCACTTTCTAAAATTTTGGAATAGAAAGATTTCCTACATGCTAAAAGCTGGTTCTGGAATTCTGTATGCTAAAGGCTAAGTAATACTTTAGGTTTAGTTCTAAATTTTTATCTCTGTTTAGATGGCTTACAACAAAGAGCCCTCAAAAATGGAACCAAAGCAATGCTTGTGGCCTTTGACTGCTGGAATAAGTCATACTAAACCTATGGCTCAACCGCTTATCGACGATTGTTATCTTCCGTGCAGGTACATGCTTTTCGTTAGTCCTTTTTTAGAATAAAAATGTGTTTCCTTCAAATTAAATCCATATATTTAATAATATGTAATGGTCTTTTATAGGTCACCTTTAATTAGCTCACAGTGGATATACGATGGTTTTAGGACGTTAATTTTTTCCTTCTCTTTACTTACTTTTATTGGTGGTCTAGTTTGTACGGTAAGATTTGAATATTTTGTTTGGGGAGAATTTCTTTATCATATAATTTCAGAAGTTCGAGTTGTGCTATTAATACACTTAATAAGTAGTTAAGCACGAAAGATTATTCTTTTTCGATGATGACATTTAATTAGCAGAATATTATTGTGTCTGTTGTTGTCTACTCTAACTAGTGAGTAATGCATTTTGATAATTTTCTGATTTCAAATTAAGTAGATTTCCACATTGCTAATCATATTCCTGAGACTATTGATTATTATTAAGATTCATTTATCCTTCATCTTCGATTGCTTTTGACAGAAATAATAAAATATTCCAAAACTAAAAAAGATTACTTTCAGCTTTATCTATTCATTTTCTCACTTCTCTTCACGAGTGATCTTTGTGTTTATTCATTAACCCATGCACTCTTAAGTGCAACTATCCATTGGTTCATGTGGTTACTAAGTTATGCTGATCGAGTAGCAGAGCGTGCAATGTGTTTCGATATGCTAAGGCGTGATGCAAAGATTTTAAGGTATTATGTTATAAATGAATAAATGATACTCTTTGAAAAATATTTTACTAAGCCTTAAGTCACTCTTAGCCAGTATAGCATTCCACTTTTATTGATATTATATTTTTATTATTATTGTTTAAATTCTATATATGGGGTGGCGGACTTAATTGATATGGACGTCTGTGATGAGAAAATCATCCTTGCTCTGCGAGCTCATTTACGAATTAAAAATTTCGGAATTGAGCAGTGAACAATATTGGCCTCTGAGACGTTATGAAGTTTTAAGATCTGATGGGATGAACAACGAAAAAATTCAATGTTATTAAAAGAAAATTAAAAATTTTTTTCCCACATCCAGACAAAATAGCAAGTGTTTCTTGAACACAAAGTGTGCTTACTCTTTGGAGTTAGTTTATTGTGCTAGTTGTTTAGCACTCATTTAAATTTATCTTTTCATTTGTTAGTTAATATGCGCTATCTTTAAAAACTTAGTAAACATTTCATTAAAAACTTTGCAGGAGTTTATTAGATTGGTGTAGCATTCAGTTTTGGCTGCTACATACTACGATATTATCTGGCTTTTTTTGGTTACTGATTGCATTGGCAATTCAAATCGGTCGACCAAAAATCAATCGTGAACAAACAATTAAATGGAATAAGCATAATCATCTTGAATTGCGCTGCTTTTTCCTTGTTTGTTATTTAGTGGCTGGTTCATTAGCTACAATTGCATTATGGGCAGATGTTGTAAGTATTTATTTGCAGTATTAATAATCCAAAATTTGCTGAGTGAAAATGAATTGGAATTAAAATGATTTAAATAAATATAGATACGACTTCAGATGAGTGAATAAGTGTCGCATAAAAAACATTTTTTGCATCATCGTCAGATTATTGATCTTAATGGATTTCTTTTTCTATTTGTTAACATAAGCTATCTTCACTATCACTTCGCGGACTGGTGTCTATATGACCGTGTTAATTTTCGTGGGTATTACTTTACACTGTATAATGTTCACTGCTGGTCATACGTAATAAGCATTCTGTCCAGAAGGTTTTCCATCCTAAAAGAAATATATTTCCTTGATCATCCTTTGACGTTTAGATTGAAACAGATGGTATCACCGGTGTTTGCTATTTCGGATTTCATACGATAAGAAGTGCGGCAAATCTCTATGGTCCCATCCTGGTCACTTTTACATTGTTCTTACTTGCGATCGTTTATTTTCGCAAGTGTAATGGAGGTAATACATGTTCTTACTAATAATGTCCATTCTTTTTTACAATGTTGTGAACACAACTTTAGAACATATGGAAAAAACTTTTTTCACTCCGTGTTTTCAGATAGGATGAAAATCGAGACTTCAAATAATTCGGAAAAACGAGATCAAGTGGTACTTATTGTAGACCACATCGATGATGATAAAGGGTTATTTGATTATGAGGATGCTAAGAAAAATGGCTACTCACAAATGGCGTTCTTTTGGCGAAGTATATTATGCACACACTTCACTTCTCCCTATTTAGTTGTTTCTTAGGTTTTTTAGCTACTTTACTATGACACGAGAATTAATTCTTAATATTCACATTGTGTACTGAAGTGAAAAAGTTTTTCAATGTATGTATGAAATTTTTGAAGAGTATGAATGTAAATTGAAATCCTTCAACTGTAGATTAATGTTACTTTCAGATCTGTTTTGCATTATTACCACTCTATCATTTGTCGCAGTTGCAATACTCCTTCACTATAGCTTTTTTACTGATGGCATTTCAGAACAGGAAGTTATTCTGGATTCCGTAAGGTTGCTTTTTTTCTTTTTTTTGTATTTATTTCATAAATTTGTAATACAGATCTTTTACAACAAAGCAGTGAATAGCAAACTGCACAGTTACATAGCAGAAACATCTGGCCATTTAGGGCAACAATTTATTCTTTGCTTCTTTAATGTCGCCTCTCCTTATTTCTTTACTCCTTATACTTACTTAACCATGTCTTCTTGCTACGGGCTGAATTTTTATAATTTTAAATATATTTTTATAATTTTAAATATATAGCCTACTTTTTAGTTTATATTATTCCCAAGTTATCTAGACATTCGGACATATGAGACTGTGATTTATAATGATTCGGAACAGTCACTGTTATTAAGTTGCTTTATAAATTGTCGAGGCAATTTTTTTGACTGGTAATTTGGATCCCTATAGCCTACTTTTTTTCATGAAATTTTTTATTTCTTCATGCAGATGTTCTCTGAATAAAACAGTTACGGAGGGGCAGACGAGATGGTTGCATGGAATAACGCGGGATCAAAAAGCAGATGCTTTTTCGAGGCGAGCATCCATCGGTAGCAGGTACGCAAGTGTTATTTCCGGAAAGAAGTTGATATTTGTAGAGAAGAAAGAACCGCTGCAGAATTTATTTGATTTGAAAACAAACCTAAAAATCTAATTTTAATAACTCACCAACTTTGTTTCTGAGTAACTGTGATCTATTTATTTGTGAGCTCCAGAAATCACTAGTTTTTCCGTTTCGTAATTGTACAAAACCCAATAGACATTCCTGATGTGAATGCGCGGAAAGATAGCTCTGATTTTTTTGCAGTTTTTTAAGCGCTCCTGGTTGCGAATTGCCATCAAGTGTGGACGATCAATTATTACCTATATTTCTGGTCTATCTTTTTTTTCCTTCATTTCCATTTGTAACTGTTATCATTTACATATTGACTGGATTTTGTGGCTATGGGATGATTGGTGTTGAGAAAATACGGAAAAAGTTCAATCCGTTTGTTTTGGTGAAGTACTCAGAATTGACTCCAATAACGGGAAAGCAACAGTAAGTTTTTTTTTTTTTTTGCTTTTTTAGTTGGAACAATTTTTGTATCAGAAACTCTATGTTATATTTTAATTTTGAGGTTAGCTTTTCGGACAAATTTCATTCAAATGCATTTAGTTGTGTCTTGTTAAATTAAATGCAACAAGTAAGCCTTTAATTACTTGCTTTGTATGAATCGCATTTTTTTAGTCATCGGATATAGGAAGAAAACAGTCGGATACAGAAATATAGATCGCATATAGAAGTGTTAAAGAGATAAAAGGTTCAGCACAGCTTTATTTGTTGTGCTTGCTATAATGGTCGATAAACTTTTTTCATGATGCGTGTCAAATATGAAACAGTATGCCATGTTGATTTAGATATAATTTAAAATTTCCAAAGACTTATACAGCTTTCTTATCAGGTCAGAATAATTAATTAGGTTGTAATTATTATGAAATCTTGAATTTAGGCCTGATGAAACGCTGATTACCGGTACATCTAATTCCTCTAGTAAAATGAGTCCATCGAAAGAAGTTTCTTCCAAGGAATGTGAAAATATCACACAATTGGAAAATAACGAAGAAGAATCTCGCGACATATTTCCTACAGATTTGAAAATTAGGAGGTTAGTGTTAAATGTATTGATTTAATTTTACAGGAGTTACTGTTATACCTTTGATAGTTTTTAATTTTTTTTCATTTATTAATTTTTTTTTCAATTTTTGCAGTTGTACTGAAGAGATGGCAGTCTTTCTGGATTCATTTGTTTTTCTCTCTAACATACCAATGCCATGTTAATGTGTTGGATTTTTTTTGACTATTTTCAGATCGTCCTTTCATTTTCAGATTGGATGTTTTACAAAGAAGTAGGGAAAGAAGAAGGCGCCAAATGGAAAGTGGATATCTGTTTTTGAAACCAACGAATTCAATTCAAACGGTAAAAGATCAAAATTTATGGGCTACTTATTGATTGTTTTTTTCAAAGATATTAATTTGTTAGTTTACTTAAATTTTGTTTCTTTCTAGTAAATTCTGATAAATTTAAGTATCTATTCTAATATTCCTACTAGATTTGGGAAGGATTTGATCCGCATTACCAGTTCGCTCATATTCCTTCACTAATTTTAGTGAACATCAAATCCATTTTGAATTTGAACATTTTAGACAGGTAGGTTACTACACTAGCTATTTAGTCTGATTTGGCATTTTTATAATCAAGTAGATGAAGCATTTACTGTTCTTTGATTTCCAATAATTTTTGAAAAGGACCTGATGCTAAATTTTTAGGCTTTTGTGCTTATGCAACGCTTTGTCGCTCACATATGCAATTGCAGACAACGTCGGTTCTTTCTGCTTATCAAAACGGGGTTGTCGAAGGTCACTGGCGTGAACGATGTGTAAATTATGAGAAGCAAATCAAAGCACTTTCGGCTAATTTACGCATTGCAGATCATGAAATACGACGATTAGCTGGTTTGGAAATGTCGGAATCTATGATTGCATCAAGTAAAAATAATATTTACATCATGTTACTATTTATGAAATCATTTCGCTTCTATAAATAGGAATGAGTAAAACATGTAAACTGAATGTCACAGCATCTATGTTTTGAATTTTTTTTACTTATCTGAATTAAAATTAGTATTTCTTTACTTTTATAGTTTTCAAATTTAAGTCTGCAGAATACTTGTTTTTATAGTTTGTTTAAAAAATTTGTTCTAATGGATGAATTCATCAGAAATACAGATTTTTTTTTCATTTGTAAAAGCAGAATTGTATATCTTTTAAGAGTTTTGGATGTCTTTTTTTTCGAAGGTGGTATGAAAGCAGACCAAATCATTATTTATGATATCAGTGGTGGGTAATTGCTAAAAGGTTCATTTAGGAAAGCAAAAGTTTCCATATGCAGCTCATTCGATTGATATGAATTATTCAATTCCCATCGCAGACCGAAAACCATTGGTTTTAGCTAAATTCGGGTTGCACCAATGTCCAAGGACTGATAATGGTGTGTTATTGCTTCGTAAATACTAATATTTTGTTAAAGTTTGAACTCCATTCATTTTTCCTAGCTATATCTTTTATTAAATTGCGTTTAGGTTTTTATATGACTGTATAAATAGTTTCATTTCTTGTTAAATTTCAGCAGATCATTCAGACAATTTATCGACCGAAAATGTGAATGCTTCTGAAAAGCCTGCTGGTTCAGAAAATGATATTCATATGCAAAACAAACCTCATATCGACGAAAAAAATGAAACGAAGATACACCAGATGTCATCTTTAAAACCTCAGACTTTTTTTGGTGCATCGGCCATGCAAGGTCTGTCAGATGAGACTGCAGATGATGGTCATCTTTCGGAAAGTTATCATGACAGTGACAGTTTCAATTCCGATGAAGAAGATTCTGAAGAAGAAAGATTATACAATGAAAAAGTAAGTATAAATTTTCAGAATGTAAAGGATGGAAAATTTTCATGAATTACGCATATCATTATTAGTTGGAATGGATTTAGTTGCGATTTTTTGATATTAATTTAGTGAAAAAGAGTCAAAGCTTATAGTGATAAAAAGTGTACTCTAAGATGCAGTAAGATATTCTGCTGAATATGTGTGAGACTGTGTATATTTTATATACATTTTCTTTTGCTTCACTCATTTTTCAGGTGGCAGAATTGCAACGAAGGCAACAGTAACAAAAAGAGTTTAATTGACATTTCTCTCCTCGCAGTTACTTCATTTTTCAAAAAATTTATGATTTTTTAGGATTCCAATTTCTCCAATCTTTTGATTCCTAATTAATTATTGGACAATTTCCATTCTTCAGAAATATTTTATTATTGTCTATTAAATTGTCTTTCATTATAATCATCCGGATTTTAAAATGTTTTTTTTTATATTTTAATATTTTATTTGCTACATTCTGCGTGGAAAGATAATCATTTAAGTGTAAACAAGTTTGATAATTTTTTAGATTTAAATGATATAATTTTGTAATACTTGGCCGTAGTTTCCTTAATTTTCTTAAAATATCGGTTCTAAAATGTCTTAAATCATTCTTTTTTGGATGTTAGTTGAATTTTCTATTCTTATCATTATCTAATCCTTGTAAAAGCATTTCTCTTTTTCGTTCTATAATTTGCATTGTTTAGATCATTTTAGTTGTGCATGGTTACAAACGGACATAAATTTCAATGCATAGCAAACTGCTAGAATGAACACTATGAATTTTCAGATTGAGATCGGTTTTGGGTTTTTTTTCATAAGATAACATTTTTTTTCAGTTTAAAAGTAACGAATCATTAACTTGGCTTTCTTTTATGTAATTAATTCTGTGTGTGTAATAGTGACAGATATTAACTAAGTGATGTTAAGGTGTATTAGATACAGTTTTACTAGGCAACAGGTCTCTTCAAAATGAAGTTTGGAGAGAAAGTTGTTTGTATACAACATTGTTCATGTGGTCATTCTTGTCAGATTGTCTTTCAATGAATCTATTTCGGATTTAGCGTGATAATTCATTTGCTTTAAAATTTCATTATTTTAAAGTGTTTTGGTTGTTTTTTTTCCTGGTAGAAAATGAGCTAAAGAGATTATTTTATTTTATGCTTACATCTTTATAGTTTACTAATGTGGTGCTTATTATTAGTTGAGGTTCTCTATTCTTTCAGTGTGCATGGATGAATATGTTTACTTATACGGATTTAAATTTTTGATAAGTTGCATTTAAATTAATTTTTTTTTTTTGGAGTATTCCAATATTGGAGCAAACTTTGCAAAATGGTAAATGCGTTTCAAAAGCACGGACATCTGACAACCAGAAAGAAGAGGAAGCGAGAAGCGAAAAGAAAGCAGGTTACCCCGTGATATTTGATGCTTCAGTTCAGGGATTGTATCGATGAAATTAGATATCGCGGGTTCACCTGCACAGATATTTTATCTACTAATAATTTCCTTTGTTATCTGGATAACTATTATTTGTTGAAATCCTTTCACTTTTTTTGAAGATTTTAATCTGTTTTCTGTAAAACCAAATTTTTATTATCAATTTTATCTCTGCTCATAGTTTCTTTTTTTAATTTTTCTCTTTATTAAGCTAAGCATGCATTTTAAATTTGCCAGGCTTTTTTTGCCTGTTAAAGTTTGTTAAGACACCTTAGACTAATCGGAAATTTTTTTATCTCAAAATATTTCAGACAGGGTATATGTTACCTTTGATTGTTTGCAAGCGTAGATTTACTGCTTTAGTCTTATTCTAATAGATGTGTTTCTCAGCATTTCACCCATTCAGCTGACAATACTGATGGTTTTCAATTCCATTCATTTTACGTTTGCAATGATTCATATGTACACGTATATTGAAGTATTTTTATGTACCCATGCGTATATCTTTCGCTATTTCTGATAAATTCAATCAGATCAAAGAATTTTCATTATTTTTTTTGCGCTTGTTGGCAAAATCATGTATTTTCATTTCATGAATTTTTATCTTCATGTTGTCATCTTTTTTGTTCCAAATTTTCTCTTTCTGCTTAGCTACTAAGTGGCATTGCTTTCCTCTAACCGTATGTTTATTGCTTCTGTTAAAAAATTAGTGAATTACTTGAATAGTTGATCTACTTTAAATATAAGACCCAAAAGTTTAATTCTACTTTTTCTTAAAAACTGATATACTTTTTTCCTTTTTTTTTTATTAAATTCTATTGCGGTTGCTAGCATTGTTTGTTAGATAGAGAAAAAGATGCTTCCCAATGCAACTATATTGAGCAATAAGAAATAGGCATAAGTTTTATAAAGAAATAGTTAAGGTGAAATAAACATTGTGCAAAAAATGCAGTAAAGAGTATAAATAGCAAGAGATGGGTATGTGTGTGTGCTTAAATTTCATAAATATAATGAACCACTGCTGAAGCAACAGTTTCATCCTATTAATATAGTTCTTTGTAAATGATTTTCTTTTGTCAATATTTAAAAAGAATTCATTTTACCTTCATTTATGTTTAATTTGTTTATTTGCCATGTACTGTACGTTTACAATTAGAAAATTCCTTTACTAAATTAATTGCATGTGTAGAAGCAAAAGCTTTTGCTTACAAGCTTTTTCATAAAATATCTTTAAAGTCATTGGAATTTTGTGTTTTGATCAAATATAGTCGATGTTAATTTTCCGATCACGGTAAAAATATAAGCTGGGCTGTACTCTGCTGATAGGTTTTCGGGGAGGTTTAATTTAACATTAATATATACAAAATTCACTTTATCATCCTTTTTGTTAAATCGTTAATTGTTTTTTATTAATTTAACAATTATCAGACTTTCACATAAATGACCATCATTCAACGTTTTACAGCTATTGTTATTTGGAAAAAAAAGTTTTTTTTTTTGTTTGCAAATGATCCGTTGTCATTGTTCTAATACTATAATGAATTTATGGATTTTATTTAAGCCCGCTTAGGAAAAGTAATGCAAGTGATTCATGGGCGATATCTTACGAGATGTATCTTTTCATTACCAAAACGATGGTCAAGTAAGCATTTCTGGATAGAACTTTTTTTTTTGGGCATTATTTTCTATTTATGTTTAAAGAAATAGTGAGTCGATTCTCTGGAAAATGAAAAAAAAAGTAATTAGGCTTTGTAAGCTTTTTTGATCTAGAAAGTTTCAACTGGTCCAGTTGTTTTTTAATTCCAGCATACTTTATTTTATTGTATTATGCATTAATTAACATTTTGATGTAATCGGCATCTGCACATGCAGTGCAAATTTAGGGCTGCTTTTAGGTAGGAGCTAAATTGCGAATTTGTCCTAAAAATTTCAAGCAAATTCAAGAAGACAATAAATTGTAGTTGAAAGGGACCAAACAGTTTGAATTGTTATTATGCTAATCTTTAGTTGAATTAAATTAGTAACTTGGAGGACTAATATTAGAATTCAGTTTTGAAAAGATAATTAATGATCGATCATAACAGAATTATACATCGGCCATGGGCATGCATTAATTTGGAAGTATACTACAGTTGTTGAATATGATTCTAGGCGATGGTATGGTTGTACATCGTGACAACGAAATTAATAACTGCAAAATACCTTTTAAGTTCACGCCAGAAAATATGAAGCGTATAGAAGTGATAATTTCAAAATATCCACCGGAATATAAGGTTTTTTTGTTTATCTGTTGGTGAAGCAATGAAAAACCATAATCAATTAATTAATGTTAGCACAGTTTTATGCATCCTTTAGTGATGTCCACTGTTTGATAAGGAATAATTTGATCAAAAATCATATGCCATTTCATTACATTTCTCAGATTAGTTTCTTTTGTATCATAATGATAAGTAATTTAGAACAAAAATTCTGAATTACATTAGCATTTTAAAAATTATAGAAATTACACCTTTCATGCGAATTTAATTGTTTGATGTCGGTTGACTATTATAGCAATTATTCCGTAAAATTGTTGAATATTTATTTCACTTCAGCTTCAAAGTTCCCTATGCCAGTTTATGAAATGACATCTTTTAGTGTGGTGCACTTATTCCTGTGTTAGATTTGGCACAGCGACAACATGGATGGTTACCCATTTCGGCAATGCATGAAGTTGCTCGTATCTTGGGTTAGTTTTTTTGATTCCATTGTTTTTTTCTAAGGTAAATCTTCAAACAAATATCATTGATCTTTTGAAATTCCTGGCCGATTTTAAATTCTGCTTGTGAAACTTTTCATCTCGAAAAAAAAATCATTTTTTAGGAATTGCACGGATGCGAGTGTATGAAGTGGCCACTTTTTACTCGATGTTCAATCGGAAACCAATGGGAAAAAATTTTGTGCAAGTCTGTGGGACAACTCCATGTATGCTTCGTGGTGCTGAATCAATTATGGAAGCTATTACCAAAAAACTTGGTTTATCTTGGAATGCTAACTTCTTTGCATATTGTTAGAAGCGGAAAAGATAGGGAATTTAGTTGTAAATTCTATAACTTGACATGATTTTTATAGATTACATATTTTTCATTTATAGCCGTTTGAATCATCATCACAATTATTTGAAATATAGTATTTTAAATTTGAGACAGAATTTAGCACTTCAAATGATTATCATTTTTATGCAAGATATGCATCGTCTGTAATAGTTTAACTATTAACTGCTGGAAAGGAAGGGACATTTTGTATAGGAATTTAATATCATAGGAATAAATGAATCATTTTCACATTCTTTTGTTAACTGAGAATTGATTATTGCAGGTATCAAAGTTGGTGAAACAACGAAAGATGGCTTATTCTCATTGGCTGAAGTAGAATGTCTTGGTGCATGTGTTAATGCACCTATGATTCAGGTTGAGTATTGCTCTATTGAAATTTTGCTAAATAATCTAGGCATAGTGTGACACTGGATTTTTTTTGTTTGGTTTGTTGCATTTTTAGCATTGAAAATAAGATTTAGCTCAAACAAATTCACAAATAATTTGAAAAAGCAAAACGATCAGAAGTACAGCTAAATAAATCTAACCAATTATAACTTGAAATTTAGATTAATGATGATTATTACGAAGATTTGACACCGAGAGATATCAGTGATATTCTGGATGAATTGAAAGCAGGTAAACGACCAAAGCCTGGCCCACGAAGTGGTCGTACAGCTGCGGAGCCAATCAACGGGCTAACAACGCTTACAACACCACCAAAACCTCCTGGTTTTGGTTTTCAGCCGGGCATTTGAACATTTGCAAATGGTCATTCTGTTGCGTAATGTGATGTTTCATAATGTATAGAAAATTAAAATATGACCTTGCTAAGGTGCTAGCATGCAGATGTAAAATTTTAGAACTGTAACAAACATTTGTTTACCTGTTAAAAACATAATTTGTATTTGCTTTTTACTGTAACATGAATCATAGTTTTCATATTTAATATGTCTGAAGAATATTGAAAGGATCGGAAGTTACTGCGAAATAACGTAATGGATGCCTAATGTAACGTACACTGAACACTCTGAAACAGGTTTACTTCGCTTATTGTCAAACCGTTTTGTTCTGTCAGTGGTTGCCGAGGATGAGGTTGTTATTGTCGTTATTCAATGTGGTCAAAAGGATTTGTAAATATCGTTCATATTTACGAAAATTTAATAAAATAAAATAGACAGGTTTAGTAATCATACCACATTTCGCTTTTATTTTTTCTTCACAGCAATAGATTTCTGAAGATTAGGTCAGACGAAAAGACAGGATTACTCTGTGGGTCATTATAATGCTATCTTAGCTTGCTCATTTCTTTGAAGGGAAAAGTTCAGCTTAATTACGACGGAAAAGTAATGATATATGATGTATATTGAAACATTTCATATGATAATTTTAAAATGAAGGATGTATGGAAGGGATGTGTTGAATGAGTTTTTCAAATATTTTCATAATATATACCTTAAAAAGGGAATCATCATTTTTTGGAAAGAAAAAAGAATCATATTTTCCGTCGGATTTCGCATTTAATCTATTAGATTAAGAACGAAATGCATTGGGAATTTATCGTTCAAATGGTTGTATGATTGTATTTTGTGAAGTTCTTAAAAAAGAATGATTCAATAAACTAGAAATTAATTATCAGTCATTGAAATAGCATTAGTCTAAAGCTCATTTAGATAATAGAATGGAAAACTGGACTTTTCCTTAAGTGTCATCATTTTTAAAGCACATTTAGATAACAAAAATGAGAAGTTGAAATTTTGCGAGTATCATTACTCTAAAAGTTTCGGAAAACTGGAATTTTCCAAAATAATGAAAAAAAAAAAGCTCTCACGGACTGTATTGTTCATGAAATTTCCACTCGATTTAATTTTTTTTTTCTTATTTGGTCGAAGTTAATTATTGCATTTAAACCATGAAATTTATATTACTAATATTTAATAACTTGCCCATTACATTGGCATTATTATTCTTACAGCTAAGGAACAATAATAATGTACATAGAACTATTTCGCAGCTCAAAATTGGAAATTTGAAATTTGACACTGGCAAATTTGTTATTTGAAATATTTGTTAAACAATCAAAAATTATAATATCTAATACAATTTCGATAATTCACCAGTTAATTGAACAGCTGAAATTCAATTTTTCCATCAATTACTATTATTTACTTTTAAATATTTCTCAAAACGTTTGAAAATAAAAAGAAGGAGGGAAAAAAGAAGCTTTCCTGAACTTGAATTAATCGATAAATAATTTTGTTGTTAACTGTACTGGCCTATACTGTTGATGTAATTCGGTGATTGTAGGATTGATAAACGAAAAAGGAATGTAGACATGTTGGATTCCATGACACAATTTTTACTGATATGGATCATATGAGATCATCCATCATCTTCGAATTGTTTGAAATTTCGTTTTTCTTTTCCTTC